GGGAAAGAGGAATGTTTCGGGCTCCCACCCCTTCCCTATATATCTGCTTTGACTACCTGTTGAAAAGAGCAAGGAGTGGACATTAGAATCAAAAAACAGGGAACACCTATTCCTGCATTGCAGGAAACAAACAATGTTCTGTCTTTACACACAGTGTGCTGAATATCCAAACTGCAGATTTTTATGCTAACTATTGAAATTTGCATTCAAGAGACATTTAGTTCCTTTCCACGGAGTAAAGCATCTCTATAGGGTGCTGCATCCTGAGTCTACTAGAGATGCTCAGGTATGGGTGAATAAAAGAGGGCAAGTGCAAACTTGTCACTCGAGCATCTTCTGTTCACCTCCCCTCACCTTCACACCACTCTCTCAACTCTCTGCTCAACTCACCAGGGGAATAATGAAGCTCTGGGTGAGCTCCAGGAGGTGACGCCTCAAAAGCGCGCTCTGGACTTCAGACGGGCGCTTCCGCTGAATGCCCTGCAAGCACAAGCAGCGCTTTCACAAAGGTGCTATTCTCTGTTACGCAGACAGACAGAGAATCTGCCAACACTTCAGCTATTAAGCAACCAGTCCAGAACAGTCTGGAAAACTATACTGCCCAAAATACATATTCTGCTCTCGTTAAACATAACACTCACATTTCGCTACATAGAATCTGCTTTTTTCCAGACTCTTTTTTGATATGGATTATTCTCACTTAGGCTGTCATTAGCACCCCCATTTAATCCATGGTATCAAGTGAAAAATTTTAAAACTAGCATGAGAAACGTGTCCAAGTATACTTGGCTACATCATTACACACTTCAATCAAACTGAAAAAAGTCTGTTCCTTTTGGAGAGTTTTGTCTGTTTAAACCAAGCTGTTAGCACGGTTTTCCCATAATGACATACAGGATGTAGGATAAAGTAGAAACTGCTTACCTTCAGTAATCTTTTTATCAGGGTTTTGTCTTTGTGAAGAAATGTTTTATATGAAGTGTAGATTCCTAGGTTGGAAAAAAAAAACACCAAACCAGAAAAAAACCAGAAGTTAAAAACAAAACTTTGCCCACACATCTAGAGGAGACTCTAGATTACATATTATTATATAGTACAGGGATAACAGAACTGAAATTCCTAGCACAAACCCCTGCAGCTCTGTGTGTGTGTATAATTAGAAAATTTCTTTCAAAAAATTACAAAAATTACAAAACTCCTAATGCAGCCAGTGCTCACAGCAGGACTAAAGGACGCCGAACTATCTCAAGGACCTTCCTATGCTAAGCTTATGGTGAGACAACTTACTGGAGTCAGCTTATGGCTAGGCCTGAGCTGAACAGTTAGTTAAGTGACAGATAGCTGTATCTAGCTTAGCAAGTTCCTTTGACTTCCATCATATCTCAAAAGCAGATACGATATATAAAATAAAAATCGAGAAAATTAGAAGTTCCCCTGACACTAAAATAATTTGTTCAATTGGCTTCTTCAATCTCAGAACAAAGATGGCCAGTTTTTCTGTATTAGATGGGGGAGGCTGCTACAGAGAACTGTGCAGCACACAGAGTATGAGAAGATGATAACACCAAAATGTCCATTTGTTGAGATACAAAGAATAATGTATGCAATGTTCACATGCCTGCAAAGCCTGCAAAATCCCCCACATGGAAGAATAAATAAAATTAAATGATGTCTGACAAAAGGAGGTACCTGGTTTTGTGTCTAGAGTTTTCAGTTTAGCAAGCTTCTTCACCTTAACTTGCTTGGGCAGGTCTCCTGTGGGAAGACATCAAATGACTAGGTCAGACTCCGAATCTACTCTCGCAGTCACAGCACACACGAGAGACTTTGCACTCGACAACATCCAGTCCTACACTTATACATCTTAAATCATATCCTCCCTTAACTCCACTCACCTAAGCATTCTTATCCGCTACCTTCCCTGCTAAAATTTTGGAACAGGAATGTGTTAAAGAGGCATTGCAAAAAAACCCACTCCTCAACCTACAGGTTTTCTTGGCTTCATAGACAATAATCAGAGTCTCTCTCCACCTCTCTGTTCTTCTCTATGCAATTTTCTCTTTCCTGCCCAGGAAGGACTTCTCCTTTTCTTAATGCTTCAGAAAAAAACCCACAGCAAGTTATCCTCTCAATGATTTGTCTTCACCATTGTTTGTGCTCACCCTGCACATCAACCGAGTCGGAGTCTAGACTTCCCTTTGGTTTCTCAGCTCTCACAGGAATAAAGAAGTGTAAAACGATGGCTAGCACTGCAACTGTCAGCTCACTGCTAGCCTCTAACAAGGTCTACCAGCACAACAGGACTTTGGTTCCACCCTTACCTGACAGTCTGAGCTCCCCAACCCGAAGAATGTGTGGCCAGTGCTGGAGAGTTTTGATAAAGAAAGGGTTTGTGACTCCCACAACAATGTTTGGCCTAGAAAGAGGGGGTGGGAAAAAAGCACAATGCTAACCTCAGGGTTTCCTTCAGACAGACAGCGGCAAGTGGGTAGCAAGGGTCTACTGGCTACTTACGGTGCCTGCGTCCTGGTGGTATACTCTTTGAATTCACTGTCGTGGATAGTAAAATAGGGGCGGTAGTCACAACAGTACCTCAGTGGAGCAAGGCAGCTGCAACAACAGACAGAATAGTTGCCATATAAACTTCACAGAGGAGGAACATGTGTTTACATCAGGTTTATGTCCTAGAGCAGTGTTTTGTCCTGCCAGAGGCAAAACTTTGGAGGCGTTCCAGGCTTTTTTTTTTTGCTAAAGCAGCATTCAAAGCCGGGGAGACAAAGTTCCTCAGGAACCATCAGGTCTCCCAACACAGGAGATGCACTTTTCTCTGCCATTAGTGGAGTATAAGCAAGACCCTTGCTATTCTATTTGTCTTACATGCTTTCATAGGCAAACTAAATCTAACACAATGGACGCAGCAGAGGAGCGGATCTGAAAAACTGTCAGAATTTATTATTATAGTTACCTGTACCTCACAGTTTGAAGGCATTACCTGGTAAGTGCTAAAACCATTTCTGAAGAAACCGTAGGGGATGGTGCCATTACAACAATTGGCTCTCCTAGTAACATCAGCTCCCACAACATCTGGATATGAATTAGCACTGGCTGGAAACATCTGTCAGTGAAAAGAAGAATGACAAGCTGAGGTTAGAATGTAGTTCAGAAAAGACCAGGCACAATGATTGCATATAAGCCTATCCAGGTGTGCTTCTATCCGGGAATTTGAAATCTAGGATTGATTTTTAGTATCCCGCAACAGAATGCGATGTGTCTTTACACATGCTGTTGCTCAACCATTTTATACATGTTTTAAGGAAATGATTTAAGCAATGTAAAGCAACTTGCTAATCATGTTGCTCTCAATATGTCTTTTCATCTAAACAACATAAAATGCACGTGGATTACAGCAGATGCATAGGTGTAGAGTAGCACCTATAATGCTGAGAAGTTTGGTTCAGACACACAATGTGTATGCTTCAGAGCTTAAGCTGATCACCAGCTGAGGCTAAGAAAAGAAACCCTCCTCTCAGCAGGATACAGCGGGTTGTGTGAAGGGCAGTGCACACAGGTTTAAACACTGCACAAGCTCTGCAAGCCTAATATTCTAAATGACACCCTGCAAAGCAGTAATTTTTGATTCTTCATTATCCCTATGATTTATAGCATACTCTGAGCAGGGAAAGGGGAAAGCAGATGGAGAGGAGAGGGTTGCAAGGATGGTGGCTCTCACCTGAAAAGATCCAGTTCGTGAATACTGGGGAGAACCAATGGTGCTGGTAACAGATTCTAAGTGAGGAAGGGAAAAAAACCAAACCCAAAACTGTTAGTAAATGGAAGCATCCTGACTGAAATGCCATCTAAACTGACCACATCAATCACCAAGTAGCTCCCTCTACAATAAGCACAAAAAGAAGAGAACAAGGTTAATGCTTAGAGTTATGAGCCAGAAACAGATCTGGATTGAGCATTTGAGGTCCAAATGAACTTCCCCTCCCATAAGATAGCCAAGAATCCCTTCATTTCAAGACGTTGAAAGACTTCCCATGTCTGCTCCTTTATATTTTAGAGTTTCCTCTGGCAGAAGACAGAGCTTAAGACACAAATAGAGACAAGAAGGGTTAGCAATATGGGTACCAAGAGTTGTGAAGGATAACAACATTATTCAAAGGAGAGAAAAAGGGAAAAGACAAAATGAACAAGAATCAAAATCAAAGCTGAATCAAAGCAGTAAAGATGCTCAGACAGCAAATGCTACAAAACAACACAGAAGATTAAGGCAGGGTCTCGTGGAGACCTACCTATGCATGAATTCCCAGGAAAGGCAAGGTGAACAAAACCTGTGAGAACAATGCACATACACAACTTGAAGCACACAAATTCTGTGCACAGAGTCCTGTTTTGAAAGACACAGGCATGAGAGTATGCAGTTTGAACCAGATGCATAGCTGAAACCACATTAATCCCAGGCCAAACTGGTTTCAAGTAGGATTAAGGCTGAAAGAGTTCCAGTTCTTCTCCACCCTCCTTCCTTAGTAGTCTAGATTCTGCTCATCACTGGCTTGCGTCACGCCACACTTCATCTCACCTCTTGATTGAACTGCTTCACTGGGCTTGATCCTGGCTTATCCACCCTTGATGGGATTCTCACCTAGATTACAAATAAGAACGGACAGATTATCTGGGGAGATGGAATCAGTTAGCATGCACACACACTTTGCTTTCATTCCTAACAACCATTGAGAAAGCTTCCTCAATTATCAATTCTAATTGTACACAGGTTAGGAACAAAGGGAAAGAATCTAGAGTAAAGAGCAATTTTAACATCCAGCAGAAAAGGAAATACATGCTCCACTTCCCAGTTTGCCTCCGTCTGCTTCTGCACACAGATCATCAGCAACACGTACCTGAATGACAACTCCCATCACTGGAAGGTTCAGAGTCTGTCCTGGCACAGGAGGAGGCCACTGATCAATCTCATTGCATACTGCAGGGACACAGGTAAAGAAAAAAAGCTTAATCTGAAGGTCAGTACAGGCAATTCAGCTGGTCCTATGAGTTCTGCCAATTTAATTATCGCTCATTCCTAGTTCACGTGTCCCCCTGGCTAGCTGCAAACAAACACTATATCAAATAATTGTGCAAGTTTAGGTCAGACACCAGACTTATGTCTGCACCACCATTTCCAGTGCAGGCCCAGCAGCACTGTTGACAAATCATGATTAAGTTGAACAGTGCAATAAAGAGCTAGACAGAGATGTAGCATTAGCAATTTTTTCCCGTCTCTGGGAACACACTGTATGCAAAACTGACAGCATCATCTATTAAGGTTGTCAGACATTTCCCATTAATGCATCCTTTACAGCTGCTTGTAATTTTGACAAGCCAACTACTTGGATGGAAGTTTTTCCCTGTTGGAATTTGTTCCAGAATGAGCTAATTTGGAGCATTTCAGCTGTCTTTCAAGAACTTCCTGATAAAACCTCTGAAAGATTTCAATATGCAAACCCTCCCTCCTAGATCTGACTGCTCACCTGCCTCCAGGCATGGCTCCAGCTTGTCAAAATATTCTGGAGCAATCAGCTGCAGCAACGACTGGAACAAGTTCACATATGGAAGGCGTGACACCAGCACCAAAGACTGAAACAAGGTACATTTAGGAGTCAGAGACCTCCTGACACGATCACTTCTACAGGGCTACACTTAAAAACCAACATCAAGAACGTGGAAGAGCTCAAAAGCAGTGCTTCTACGGGTGAAATTCTTGCTAGGCACCTAGTTGTTGAACCCTCAGGCTTTGGGAGGCCCTGGGTATCCATACAGGCAAGGAGTTTTTTGTTTAATGAATAAGCACAGCTGGCAGCTTCTACCAGGGAGTCACTGTGACTAAGAGGGATGAGATTGTGACCTTGCAAAAGATCACCTGGAGGAAAAATAAAAATAAATTGCTGATAGCTTCAAAGCTACCAAAACAACCAATCAGATGGAGAAGTGTGAAGGAGTAGACCATTGAAACTGAGATTTGGTAGATAAACAAAATAAAGGAATTCTGCAGAAGAAGAGACAAAGCAACTTGAAATAATGCTAATTTGTTTCCAGCAATGCCTTTTTTTGTTATTATTTTGGTTTCTTTCTAATGCTTCTTTGTGAAATATAATACTATTTTTTACAACTTCTCCAACTCAGCCCTGCTGGGAGTTTTCATTACTATGCTAATTATTCTCTTCCTCTAATCATTAATTAATGTATTAATTAGGATCCAGAGAAAATTTCTGCAAAAGTCATTGAAAGACCTCCTTTCCAACCCCAAACTTTGCCATGTGAAGTAAAAAAAACCCATCCAAGCGTGACAATTCACCAAGGAATTCAATGCACCCACTGCTTTTGTAAGTCTACCAAAGAACAAGCACATTAGCCTGGTATAAACATCTGTACAGCAGGTCCCCATGTTGTCCTGTTTCTCTAATCCTCCAGCTTTTTGAGCAATCAATCCACTGCCTTAGTGGAGATGAAGAAGCTAACTTCTGTATTAGCATTTTGTTCAAAGAAACTCCATGTCACTGCCTAGAGGTGGAGGAGAGAAAGCACAGCAGGCCAAGTAACTGCTGGACAGAACGGTGTCCCCACCTTCCAGCAGGTTACCAGACTGATCTACTATGAAGCATTGCTCTTTGAAGAGCAGATGTCCAAACTTCATTTGTTTGAGAGGATGGCATTTTATCTTTTGATGTGAAAAAACACTACTGAAAGAGTAATTCCATGGACTCGTGGAGAAAAATGGATCTTAGGATAAAAGTAAAATATCTTCCTTCTCTCGAAGTCTGATGTTCCACTCTCTTTCAGGCAGTGACCATAACTATCTGTCTGAATAGTACAAAGCACTTTGCATATTTATGCTGAAATAAACTTGAGGTTTATAGTATTTTTTCCAGTGTCTGTGTCAAAGGAATTTATGATAACAGACAAGGTTGGTGTCTTGACACTTGCTCAAGTAGTGTCACTGCTGCTAGTTAGAAGCAGTTAGCCCAGCAGGAAAACCATTCCCAGATGGCCACTAGGAAGAAGAAAAATCAAAGCAATAATTAAGAGCAGAGTTAAGGTATAACTAGCACAGACTGCAGTAACAAAGTATATCCTCTCAGTATCTGTGACATTAGAGTACATATTGAAGCAAATGTTCAAGCACTTCAGGATCTCATGATTCAGAGAGCAGGTCACTGCTCATGTGATTAACGCACCATGGCAACTGCATCCAGGTTTGTTTGGAATTACACTTTCCACATATTCTTGTTCTCTGTGACCTTTGCTGTTTCCTGCAGAAACACTGTGGGCGTCACGTAGGAAGTGGTGCTATTTTACAGCTAGGGATAGGTGCCTTTTTACAGCTACGTACCAGTTGAGAGTAGCAAGCTATCTGGTTTCAGTACTCACCTTCTGAAAATAACCTCTCTTCATCGAGCTGTCCTTGACTTGCCTGAAGTATACGTAACCGAAGTAATGAGCTGACTCCCGCTGCAAGAGAGACCAACAGTGCTGTTCTTGAGAAACCAATTCCTGCTATCACCAAACTCCCTCCAGCCACTGACCAAACACCACACCTCACTCCTGCTATGACACAATTACACCACTCCCTCCTATTTGCCAAAGTGATCCATGCTCAGCTACCTGGGAAGAGTTTACCAAATGGGAAGACAGAGAGGAGATACAAACAACTAAATTCACAAAAAATTACAGCCTCCAGGTAGCACCTTTCACTAACCCCTTTCTGCAGCACGTTCAGGGCCATCATCTAAAGGGTTAATCGAGGTTTCCACTAATACAACCAGCTGAGCCAACCCACTGAGCTCATCCTGGCAGCCTGTGCTGCCACTGATCTGCTCTGACTGTCAGTTTTCTCTGCCAGCTAGAGGATAATGTATTGTTGAGGAAGGAATACATCATCTCCTGAGAGGAGGCGATATCCTCTACCACACTCGTTGCATTCCTCTTTACTTGGGCATTTAAGGCAGTACCAGTCAAACTTTGCTCAGGATGAAGCACAAAGCTGCATGATGCTTCCTTCATAGCATCCATGAAAACTAACAGATTTAATACAGACCCCCAGAGATCATTTCAAACATGCTGTTCCTTCTAAGTTCCCACAGACATTGAGGAGGAAGAACAGTTATCAGTGCCAAAAACAAAGACCATCCTTAATACCATTTTTTGAAGCCCCACAGGCCCCACGGTTTAAGGTACTTTTCACTTCCCAAATTTTATTTTTCTACAATGGAATTCAGTACTTTGGCAGTTTTACTTCCCTTACTTGTTTAAAGCTAGGTCAATCTGTGAGGCAGTGTCCGATTGCTACAAGGCAGTAAAGACGAAGCTGAAAAATCTCTAGACCAGAATTTAGGAAAATAAATCCTCCCACTCCTCAGACCAGCAATCCATTTCTAGATTGCATATCACAAAAGCGTATTGCAGAAAGATTGCAGAAGCGTCAAAAAGGCACATGCACAGGAAGCATCATCTCAAAGGAGAAAGCAGAAGAGGACAAGTTGATCTGATGGCCATCTGCACAATTAAAAGAAGCAACAGTGCCCAGCACATCGCCTCTCTGCGCGAAATGGACAGACAGTTCACTGAAGGAAAACACACGCTTGACAGATACTCCTGATATTAGTGCTTGGGTATGGTTAAACCAGCCCGCATACAGCAAGCCAAAGTGTGGATTTGTGGCATGCCAATTATTCCAGCTGTTTTTATATATGTAGATCCTGCAACAAATGAAAAGAACTGTCACACCTCAACAAAAGAGGTAAACATCTAATTTACCGCAGACGAGGATATTCTTGTCTTGCTTTGTGGAAACGTGCACAGGTAGCCGTGCACTCTGTTGGATGTCACCTGTGTGCCACTATTTATGTTTTTGCTGTAGCTAGACATGACCACTGCTCTAATCTGGGGCCCCCCTGATTCAATTCTATCTCTCAGAGTAGCTGGGATTTTCTACACGGCCCTCTATGAGTATTAACATGGAAGTCCCTGTGCTGAAAGTTTTCTCCTTTTCTGACAATTCCCATGGCCAGAGGAAATCAGTATTTTATGCATGGAAAAGAAATCAGAGGTATATTTGGCTTTTAACCAAGTAAAACTACTGTTTGCTTAGCAGGTGTAAATAGTGCACTGAAATGCCACTGACCTGCAGCGTTAGGGGTGCTTCTCTATTGTACTCGCCATCATCCTCATAATGAGTGGTCCTCTGTCCCCCAGACTGACGAAGGCGGAAGCTAAATTGAGTATCTCCCAGGCCACCTGAGACAGAGAAGATCACAAATGCTCAGGAAGAAGTTTCAGTAACGAGAAAGCTGGAAATGAAAAAAAATTAAATCTGAAATGCTGACACAAACAGGGATGCTGATTTACAAGGAACTCCAAAACCGAAAATGAAATGGAGAGTTACAGCATAAAGAAACCTCCAAAACCCAGGGCAAGACAGGAAGAACCCATAGCTGAACTGGTATCATTAAGCTAAACCTTGCCAGGCCATCGCTGGGCAACTTACAGGCATTGGCCAGTACCATCAATCCTGAGTAGCTGCAGCCACCACTTCCTATCCACCGTACTGGCAAACCTACGAACAGCCTTAATCCAAGACCACTCAAACACTGATTTTAATGACAAACCCCTGCACAGGTTCTAGCAAATGATCTAGCCAAGCACCACAGCCAGGCACCTCCCAGGTCACACTAAACTGCTCACCCCCACCAAGCACACTTTGTACAGCAGGAAAAAAAAAAAGCAGCATGAAGTCCTCAGGAGTCTTCATCAGTTGGGTGGGCAGAAGGAGTAGGGCTGAGTACGTACAAAGAGGTCAGTTATGAGGAAAGAGTTAAACGTGTTAAGCTCACTGAACAATAACCAAGGCTAAACAGAGGAAGGCACTACAAGGGGGTGAGAGGACATACTCCCTTCCCACTGTTTGCAGATGCTATGCTCTGAAGAAGAGTAAAGACTGTTGTGTGTCTTATGAAGATATTACTATTAGTAAATCATTTACTTTAATAAAAGGGACATTTAGCCTGAGTGTTCACTAAGCTCTGAGAAACTAGTGAAAGTACATCCTTAAAAACATGTAAAACTGAACTGGGCAAAGCTGTGGAAAACTAACAGTCAGGAACCAGTCTTAAAGAAACAGATGCTGGGAGGAATTAGTCTGCTTATGTCTCACTGCTACCTTTCTGATTTATTTATAAAAGCTTTGGGTATACTTCTGCTGTGAAAATATCCTCTCCACACCCATTTCTCTTCACTGAGCACTTCACTCGCAAACACAGAAATGCTGACAGTCGACAGCTGCAAACCTCAGGGAACCTACCCTTCGTGACTACTTTCTACATTTTATTGGCATGGGTGAAGCATGAGTGCACAAGCTTATCGAGAAATTGTCCTGTCACCCACTAGATCGCAGACTCTACACCCAGAGAGCAATCAAAATAACAAGAAGCCTCTTTGTTCCAACCTAAGGGCTAGGTGCTCCTTGATGTCACAGTTCTAGAAGATACAGCCCATCAGTCTCTGCCGCATTAGAGGTGATGACTCATTCTTTCCATCATGAACCCATTTCTTTCATAATGGCAACGAAATATCCCGCAGGCTGCAGGCAAGGCCAACAGATGCTACCTACCTGAGTAGGAGTCTGGAAAGGACAAGTAGCAGATACTAGTTTTCTGCAACAAACAAAAATACAGTAAGAAAACCCTCACCATTGCTGCTTAGTTATCTTTAAAACCACAGGAAAAAAAAAAAGAAGAAAAAAAAAAGTAGTTATTACCTCTTTCTCTGTTAGTCTAAAGTCATAAGGATACACCAACTGCAAAAGAGACAAGAGTCAGTAAGTCAATCACTCTGTTCCCTCATGACTTCTACAGAGATCTATAACCATCGCTTCCACACAGTAACTGCCTTATTTTTCCCAAAGTAACATATGCTACAGGAAGGTACACCTAAAATCTGTCCATAGCTCACTGCGCTGAACCTGTCACAGAATCTGTATTTATTCTAGCGGATTTGGAGACAGACCAAATGTCTTATATTATACTTAGATGGCTTATATTATACTTAGATTACATTTGAGAGTTGATAGCTTGGTGAACAAACAGTCCCATCACCCCCTTGCAAACTTCACTGTATAGATTCCTGATACACAAACATCTGTTTTCTCTACAGCAGGCAAGAGAGGACTATTCCAATTCTGCTTGAAATTATGTTAACATATACTTACTCTCCAAGCTCCAAGCCTGGAAAGCATTAATATTCAATTTTGCACCTAAATACAAGTTCAAAAACTGCCCAAAATAATGTCCTATGTAGAAAGTTTTGAACTTTGTGTATTTCTAATTGTTGTTTGGAGGAGGGTCACTTTTTATTTTGATTTTTTAAATCCTGCTAAAAAGTCACTTACAGTTGACTAAACCCACCCAAAACCCTGAAGGAGTGAAGGTGGCTGGCATCATGAGCTGCTGACAGGTAAAAACAGATTCCACAGCAATGAAATGAGCAGCCAGACAGTAGGGTCAGACTAGGAATGGCTTTAAGAATGAAGCTGCGCATACATGTGATGAGGCACGGAAAGAAGAGTAACTGGAGGATGGCACAGAGAATGTTAACAGCCGTGGCTGGGAAAAACCTTAGCAGCAGCGTTCTGCAAAGGTACAGGCAGGGCAAGATTACCGTCCGCAAGGGCAGAGGAAAGGATGTAGCAATAATCAAGAGTGAGACAACAATAGTCTGGACGAAGGTTCTAGCTGTACGCAGAATTAGAAAACACCATACCCTACGTTCACTAAACAATATGGAGTCTGGCATTCGACACAGCCTTGGGTATATATCCTAGCCTCCAGGGTGAAAATGCTTATTTAATGGTCCCG